GTTTTAATAATTTTTCCAGGTCAACCGATCAGGAGAATCTCTAATGGAAGAGAATGATGCTTCATTAAGTTTTGATGCTCTACAGCGTAGTATTGCTGTCAGTAAATCGCATATGGTGGCAGTGATAAAAGAGGAACCTTCAGATCAACTGCTGAGTAATTCCAGTGCCACTCTTCGAGATCTGCTTATGTCTTAATTGACGTAAAAGTTCATATACTCGATATGATCAGAACAGCCAAGTATTTTTAAAATAGCATTTGTACTAGAACATGGTAATTCCTAACTACAACTCTCAAAAGTGGTTCTGTTTATTTAAAGGAAAACTACAAGTTTCTTATGTGTATTTTTATGTATCATTACAGTGAAATCAATGAGAAAATCTAGATTCCCTGCAATATTGTGAAGTGTTATATGATTAATAAAGAAATATAATTATATCCAGGAAGTGGCATTACGTTTTGTGGAACATCCTGGGGTGGGTGGGGGCATTCACAAGAATCATGCATATTGAACTTAATAAGTTGTAAAAATAAATGCAGCACTGTGACCCCTTCAAAGGGTTTTAGATCCATTGGTCACACATCAAACTGGAAACATAAGTATTTTAAAAATAAGTTCCAACTTTAACATTGATATTCACGCTATACGACTTGACTGTATGCCATTTACTGTTTGAAAAGTTATTCCTATAAAGAGGTTAATTCAATTAAGTTGATCGGCTCTCCCCTTCTCAACAACAGTTGAAAGGGGGAGGAGGTATTCAGTTCTATATGTCGTAGGTTCGCTTTGCCCACACTCCTGAAGAGGGTGTACTCAAAACACAGCAAAGTACAATTGAAAAATAAAACCATTTACTGTCTTAAAACAAATTATGATACATGTACTGTACAGTACACAGGGTCATATATTGCCTTACTACTGACAAACATATAACAACAAAACAAACTCCACGACTCGGCTCACTCTCGGCAACCCTGCAGTTGCCTCCCCGGCTTTGACAAACACATGGTGGTTGCCTCGCCCACAAACACAACGAAATCAATACTTGTCTGGACGGGCAACCACAACGTGAAAACCAATACCAACCAAAGTCGCCTCGAAGAGGGTGCCCAGCTGGAAGGACGTTGCCGAGAGGATCTGTAACTGCAGCCAGAGTGTCCCGTGTGCTGGCGAGAGTTCAGCTCACATTGGTTCCCCCACTCCTATACCAGCCTAACCTCCCCACATGCATGCGCACCCCTTTTGAAGTTTCGCCGTCACAACTGCAGAGCCGGATGTAGTCCGCTCAAAGTAACTGGAGCTCTAGCTGTAACTGTTATGGCTTAGTATGGAATCAAACCTTGGACTCAACTAGCTGAAGGGTATCATCCAAAATTTATTTAGAATGCAGAAAAGTAACTATCCAACTGGTAAGTGGGATGCTTGCCAAAAGAATGTACCTTCTCTTTGCACTGACTCAATTGAAAATGTTAATTTTAAGATGTGTAATTATATCATACAGGGAGCAGATATCATAAGGCTGATCAAAAGCAAAAGGTTAGCCTGGCTTGGCCATGTTGCAAGAATGGAAGGAAACAGGGTAACTAGAAGAGTGATGGAATGGAGACCAAGGAAACGATGGATAGGTGACGTGGAGGAGGATGTAAGGACGATGGGAGTGAGGGGATGGAGAAGAATTGTGAATGATAGGACAGAATGTAAAAAACTCGTCGAACAAGCTAAGACCCACATAGGGTTATAACACTACAAGAAGAAGAAGAATTGTTAGAGTGAATTTTATAAATTATCACTACATCATGGTTGCACTGTACGAATGACTTGTTAAAACTTGCACAAATACCAATACAAAAATAAACAATCTTACAAACAAAGCTTACCAAACCTAACCCAAAATAAAATAAATACCCACACAGTGAGTTACAAAATATGTACTTGTATGACACCAAGCACATACCACTTCATCAGAAGATAATAAGGTCAAGAATGTGTCAAGCAATGGATTTCCCCATCAAAAGTGCAATTCTTTACCTGCACAAGGAACAAAGCCTGAACCAAGACACTAAACAGTGTGTCTGCTATCAGCTTGCTGAAACTCGACAGAAGCTGTGGCCTACCTCTGCTGTATCGGTATGCTGAATCAGCAATGTCCTGCATCACAAACAGCAAACATAAAAATTAAGTATGAATTAATGTCAGTGAATATTCAACAGGTGACACTGATAAGACACTAATAGAAATGTTTTACCTTAATATCATTCCCACTTGCAACTGTTCTAGAAAATTGTTCTTCTGATTCCTAACATACACTGAGTCACACACACAAAACTTTCTGGGACTTACATCTTTTAAAAAGTTGTCTGTAGTCTAATGATATCACACATCACAGACATCCATGTTCACTAAATTTAACATTGCATCATAAAGGCTCATTTTCTCATTAAAAGACAATATAACAACAGTAGCATGTAGAACATGTATATATTTGGAACAAGCACTTATAATTACCTGGAACCACAAGCTATTCATAATTTGCTATGCAGAAACAATGGAAGCACCCAAAAGGCACGGAACTTTCATCACGATGAAGATTAAGTTATTAAAAGACTTACATTAGACTGAAGTTGAAGATGACACGTTCCTCTGATATGTTGGTAAGCATTTACAGGGCAATACGGAGTCACAATCTAGAAACCCGCGACCGAAATCACGCTCGTGAGAATATTATAAATTAAAATAGCGCGGCCATAATAGCATGGTTGCAGGGTCACCATCCTTGTTTGTGCAAGTAGCTGGTGTTGGTAATCCTGTCACAGGCTTCCAATGTGCGATTCATTTTATTTCTTTTTACAGCAAAACTTCTGTCTACGAAGATGGCCTATATGTTTTCTGATGGATATGGATACTTACAAAACTCAGCTGGTGGATTAGTATCTGCCGTTAATAGAAAATATAAAAAGAAGTATAAAAAAACTAAAAGAACAATCAATGACTTAGTTTTTGTAAGTACTAATGTGTTCGGCTTTCAACAATTACATTCACTAAATTATAATTGTTTTTTGTTAAAAGGTTCAAATGACCACAATATTGAGATACTTTTTATCATTTTCCACTATGTAATATTTTATATCGGTAGTAGGGTAATAAAAGTGGGTCTGTAACCAAGACTATATATTATTTTCAGTAAAGTAGTAGACATTTTCGTTTATTAAAGTACTCTAGCAAATTCTTGGTGATTGACACTTATGAAGTGTGATGCACGTCTCCATAGGAAAATGCAGCTCTTTGTGACCAAGTTTCTCTGGTGCAAAAAAAGATTCTCATTGTGAAGGAAGAAAAGAGGTTTTTGCTCAAGAAACTATATAATCTTCAGGCAATTGCAGGTACAGTAACCAAGCCCAGTTAATCTTCTTCAGTCATATATCAAGCAGGGGTCATTTTGCTAATTTGTAATTAGGTTTGCAAATGGTTAATATTATCCACATAATTTATTTTCATTACTGAAACACCTTCTATGCACAGAATTTAATTTATTTTACATTCCATAGATACTTCACAGTACTAAGCTGAGAATATTACTTGTAATACACACACAATACAAATATAAATATATTCTATTCTGTGTATATGTGGTATATTAAATGGGTAATGAACATATTTTTTGTGTAGTGTAATTTTAACTATTTGTAAATATACTGTATAATTGTTAATTAATTATTAAGAGTGTACACATGTCTATAAATTAGTGTATTATAGCATATTTTGTTCTAGGGATATGTTTCTTCAACTGTGTTTCTAGTATTTTCCAAATATGACTACTTTCCAAAACATGTCAGAATATAAAGACTAAATGATACAAAATGAAAGCCCAAATGAAAGTCATATTACTTGTAACAACTAACAAATTTTGGACTGTATTTACAGAAACAGACAATCAGCTGCAAATCCACACCCCAAAACTTCCAACAGCAGGGCTCAGCTCACCTTCAGCTACATCCGACACAAGTTCTTCAGCTAAAAAATCATCTGCTAAGAAAAGATGTATGCCTGAAACTCCAGGTATAAGTAACTCCACATAGTCTAAAAATTATAACTAGAAAGTCAGAGTAATCTGTAGTTGATGTTGATTGAAACCCAAACTGCAGTATATGTTAAAAAATAATCTTAGTAATGTAACTTACATGCCACTTTATATCTGAGAGAAATAATGTTTTTCTTTCACAGAAAGCCACAAAATTAATCCAAAATTGAAAAAAGGTAGCACAGCAAAAGCAAAGAAAATAGTACAGCCAATTCCTCTTGATATAACTGGTCGTCCTGTTTTCCCGATTGCGCTCGGAGGATTAACGGTACATAGCCTGGGAGAGGTGAGAACAAGATTTTATTTTGAATCATCTTACAATAAACATACTGCATAATACCAGTTTAGTTAAGTTGTCAAAAGGTAATATGGTTAGGAGAATTTGAAAAATAATTTACTTACATATTTTCATGATAAAATCAATTTATTTCAAATGATTACCAAAGAAGCAGAAGTGGATAGAACTGTGACAATTGGTGCTACTAGCCAGTTTAAGACTACCCAACTAGATAGTATGACTTGAATTCCATATAAGTATATTATGAGTGCACATGGTTATCCTTTGGAAAGGGAATGTGTACCTCGATCTTTTCATATTACAGATTTGGCCAGGCATGTAGTAGCATTCTGGTATGTTACATTGATTCTTGGTTTTTTCTTGTCACTTTTCACACACTCAATTCACTGCCCATTTGATAGAAAAACATCTTTTTGTCCAATGTGGCTATTATCAAGTTCAAATTCCTGGCTCAACCATCTTGTTTTGGGTCATCACACATGCCTCCTTTCTTTAAATCGTAATTCCAGTGCCCTTCTTAGTATGTTTGTCTAACCCCAGCATATAAGCCATGGCCCATGGTACCATCAAGTAGGTTACCACCATGGAAGCTGAGAAGGCCCAGTAGGAACTCTCAAAATAATGATGGCTAATGGAGCTCAAGTAAAGCTGTCATAGAGTCATCAAGGCACCAGCAGATAGTACCGCTGTCAGTAAATCGCATATGGTGGCAGTGATAAAAGAGGAACCTTCAGATCAACTGCTGAGTAATTCCAGTGCCACTCTTCGAGATCTGCTTATGTCTTAATTGACGTAAAAGTTCATATACTCGATATGATCAGAACAGCCAAGTATTTTTAAAATAGCATTTGTACTAGAACATGGTAATTCCTAACTACAACTCTCAAGTGGTTCTGTTTATTTAAAGGAAAACTACAAGTTTCTTATGTGTATTTTTATGTATCATTACAGTGAAATCAATGAGAAAATCTAGATTCCCTGCAATATTGTGAAGTGTTATATGATTAATAAAGAAATATAATTATATCCAGGAAGTGGCATTACGTTTTGTGGAACATCCTGGGGTGGGTGGGGGCATTCACAAGAATCATGCATATTGAACTTAATAAGTTGTAAAAATAAATGCAGCACTCTGACCCCTTCAAAGGGTTTTAGATCCATTGGTCACACATCAAACTGGAAACATAAGTATTTTAAAAATAAGTTCCAACTTTTCCTATAAAGAGGTTAATTCAATTAAATAACTGGAGCTCTGGCTGTAACTGTTATGGCTTAGTCTGGAATAAAACCTTGGACTCAACCAGCTTACGGGTATGATCCAAAATTTATTCAGAATGCAGAAAAGTAACTATCCAACTGGTAAGTGGGATGCTTGCCAAAAAAATTGTACCTTCTCTTTGCACTGATGTCATGTGTGTTATTTAATTTACAATGAAAGAATAATGCCCACCAGTGAAATGATTATAAGAACTTAAATGAAAAACTGAGATAAATTTCATCACAGGAATGTAGAATAAGGCACATAGCTTATGTGAATCCAAATTTGTCATGTATATGAGTTCATAATCAATATGCCAGAATAAGTAGTACATCAGATGCATGGTGGCAATGATGCAACATTGTATAAGATCAGATTTTTGGTTTGAGCTGCATCTGTTGGTACTCCTAAACATTTCAGCATACACTGTAGTTGCAATCTTCAAGGTAAACTCAATGCAGTGTTTGCTGAATTGTTGGATGTATTTTCATAAACAACACAGCTCAAGCATATTAGACATCTTTACTATAAAAATTTGTGATTCCTCGTTGTCGTCAAAAAATGACGTCATCAACAATGTCAACTATAAACAAACTCGGCATTGTTATGGAACACAACAATGCCGAATTTAGTGTCTTACTTAAGATTTTAAAACGTCAAGTGGTTTAACCCTCCATTCGGGGGGGTTAGTTTAGTTTCTTACACAAGATTTTAAAATGCAACCAAACACCCCCACCCAAAGTGGTTGGTTGCTTTTTAAAAACTTGACCAGCCCCTCCGAGGAGCTCCGAAAGGAGCGTTCTGCCCTAATACTATAAAAATTTCTGATTCCCCGTTGTCGTCAACCTATTTGTCGTCAAAAAATGACGTCATCAACAATGTCAAGAAATATTTGTTTACTCGGCATTGCTGTGGAACACAACAATGGCGAGTAAACAAATGGCTACAAATTGGTTGGTTATAATACAACACAACAATCAAATTGGTTGGTTATAATAGAACACACATCATCAAACAACCGTTTACTCGGCATTGTTGTGTTGTACCAACACAACAATGCCGAAGGGGAGTTAGTTTAGTGTCTTACTCAAGATTTTAAGGTTGGTTGCGTTTTGAAAACTTGACCAACCCCCTCCAGGAGCTCCGAAAGGAGCGCTCTGCTCTAGTTAATAATAATAGGTGGCAGTGACTAGCAAAACAAGTACTGATGCAGTCAATATTTGTGCCTGTATAATATTTTTTCTGTCATTTGAATTGACTGTTAACTTTGCACTATGTATTATGGAAGGCCATCTAGCTATGGCTCCCATATATTTAATTATTAAAATATCAAACCTCATTTTGGTGCTTTCTTCAAAGCTTGTTTTCATGATCTGCCCAAGAAGCCATCCATAATAATGTATATCAGAACTTCAATGCAAGAGAGGAGATGGCTCCTGTGAAGTAAAACAACAAAGTATAAAGTTTATATGTAGCACTCTGCAAGTAGGAAGACGTCAAACTGAGTCAAAATATCTTTATATCAAAATCAACTAAAATTACATCTTAAATTGTAGCCATGAATACATTTAACTGTTTGTTGAAAGCATTCTCTCATATATTCATGAGCACACCCAATAAGTCAGAAAGTATGCCAAAACAACAAAGATTAAGAATGGATTCTTAACTAGGAAATGTGATACTATAATCTGTACATACATTGCATTGCTCAGAACCATATTTCAGCTACAAAACTGAAGTGTAAACCAAGCTACCATGTGTTTAATATTATCAAAATAAGAAGGAAACTATTGCTTACTTACCAGTATTGCATCGCTTTAACACAGACCTCAGTGTGGCATAAAATCTAACAAAATTCAGTGTGCACAATGCAAGTTCTTTAAACAAGTGTTACAGAATCCTACGGTAAAAATAAGGTGAATTGCTAAAACTGTTATGTCATTAACAGGCCAGAAAAGTGTTAAACCCATGTGATACCAACATTTTCCTCTTTTTCCTAATGAAAGTTACAAACAGATGTTCTTTATACTGCACTGCAGTAAACATTACACACAGTTAACTGATTCATGCTAAATTTGTAACTAATATGTCTTCATAAGTGATATTTGATACATGAATGAAAACCATTTGAAGTTAAGAAAATACAGTATTTTACACATTTGCACTAAAATAACCATTACAGTGCTGTAAACCCATAACAGTACTGCACTGAAGTACAATATGTCTTATTATGTTGCTGACTGCAGAAGGTTGATTCAAAAATTTAACTCGAGCAGAGCTCTAAAATATTAGGCAAGTCACACTTTCTTTTTTCACAGCAAGTAATTCACAGACAAGCATTTCATTCTACACAATGTAATCAGTTCAGTACACATATATTAAGACCATGAAACATTGAAAATTGATGATTTAAGGCAATCCATTTTCAATTCAATTTGCTTTAAATCTGCTGTACAGTTCAAATCGTTTTATGTGTTTGTGGGTGAAAAATCTGCAACTGTAAATGTTACTTCTCAAAGTATAATGGAAGTACCTGTTCACTACTGATTAGCAAATGACACTACTATTTTACATACAATACCCAAGAGAGCCAAATAATTACGTATACTACTGCTTACTCGTACTCTCTTCATATACACTAATATCTGTTTATGTCAGTATAAATACCATAATCAAACATACTGAAACTCTGTTTAGCAAGTAGTCTTTAGTTCAATATGTATAATCTACCATACATCAAAATTCAGTCAATGACTTTTCCCAAGAAGAATATGATTTATCTTAGTTCTTATATTTTATTAACAATATTTTAAACTCAGTGCTTTACTCTAATTTGCCTTCATTTCACACATACATATAACAAGCTAAACTGAAATCCTGTTTCAAGACATTTACATGTATATCCTTCATGCATATAAAACCTTTCAATTTTGTAGCCATAATGAAATTGTTTTCACTGCATATCAGCAGTGTATTGACATGCAGAGTGGTGGGCACGATATATATCCGTCTATATTTAAGATTTGTACAATAAACTTTACTTGTATAAACTGCATTAATTCAAAGCTTCATCTGAAAATGTCATAAAAAATACTAGCATCAAAAAATTTCCTTTCTGATAAAAATGGACACAAAATATATCTTTGTTTATAGACACAGTAACTTCAACAATGTATTAGATAAATACTATTCAGATTTTATGATAAAAACCTGAAAATTTTGAGTGATCTTTAAGGGGCCAAAAAACACTGCCAGAGTGAGTTCCTTTCCTCTCAAAATAACATACAAGCTTTTGGTGAGAACGTCAAGACAAAGAAGAAAATTAACTGGCACTTGGTGTAATCAGTCCCCTGTACATATCAGAAGCTTACAGTCCTCAAGAGAGTGAAGATTTGCTTGCACTCTACAGAACACGGAAAGTGGAAAACATGGGGTTTGTTTGTACCTTTCTCAAATTCATAAATGCTTTATGCATTCTCCAATTTAAAGCACTGTAATAGCCAATATACTATAATCAGTTTACTTACAAATTATGTGTCATTAGCTCTAGAACTTCCTTTGAAATAATGTTTTCCATTTCAGATTTCTTTTCCAGTTTCCTAACCCATACCCTTCAAAATGCATTAAGATTATTGAAAATTAAACAGAGCCATTATAATTTACAATACTGCTGTCTATGTTTTTGGATGTGAAGAAATTACTTCAATATCATGTTATTAGGTTCCAACTAAGAACATTACAGCTGAGCAACAAAGCAACCAGCAGACCACAAATGATTAAGAAACTTAAAATTAACATTTAGGTTTATTCACAGCACCCCAAACTTAGTGTTTTATAAGAAATGTTTTAGCATTGTTTGAGGTACATGGTAATAAATGCTGCTCTAATATTTTTAGTCTGACATATAGATGTAATTAATTAATCTTATCCAAACTAAGTGCAGTACATTGACCATAAGCCTGGTTAACTGTTCAGAGACACTGAAACATTATTTTTACATGCATGGCACTATTAATGATTTGTCCAAGAATAATGTAAGAACTATATCATGGATAAAAATATAATAAAAATAAAATAAAGCAAATAATTAC